AATCATATATAGTTATTGAATACAAAGTATTTTATTTAAAAATTACCACTTAATAATATATTATAAATAGAATTATCATTTTATTTTATTATAAATAAATTTATTTTAACTTAAGTTAATTTAGTTTAATTTTATTTATATATATTATATTACTTCAATTCATAAAAACATATATTTAAATCCATTTTATATTTATATTTTTTATTTATTTAAATGAAATTATAATTTTATTTTTATATTAAACAGTAATATATTAATTATTTAATTTTCATATTTGATTTTGATTATATTTTATATTAATTATATTTTCTATTATTACTTTATTTTGTGATTGTTTTATTTTTTATTTTTTGTTTGATTAAGTTTTCTTGTGTTCTACAGTTTTAAATAAATGTATGTTAGATTTGTACCATATAATGATGGAGTGGTGTGAAGTCTTGTCTATTGGCCTTTTGGCCCAAGTTCGAATTCAAGAGCAGCTCGCTTTAATTTTGCCCAATAATTGATATAAAATTAAGGAGCAAAATAGTAAATTTTAATTTTAAAATAAAAAAATATATGAAAAAAATGAATAATTTTCGCATTACAGAAATGTGTACTGCACGCGCAGTCAAGTTGGACGGAGAGAGGAGGAATCGTACAACAATTAGTTAATACAAGCGGGTCTGATACAATTTTTAAAATACTAGGAGAAAACGTGCAAATTTCGTATAATACAGGGGGTTATGTATATATTACCCATTTTTAAAACATTTTCTATATTAAGGATACTTAAGCCTAAAAAAAAGACTCAAGTAGATTTTAGATTTTTGTACAGGATGGAACAGACCACGTGGTAAAAGTGAGAAATCTGGTTGGGGCCTCTCCTCCTATATCTAAGCAAAGGGGCCCACTGAGCTTGAGTGTGGTCTTATCCATCTAAAGGGTCCAACAGCAAAGAGCCCAACAGCCCATGGTCATGTAGGGGGTTTAGGTGAGATTTGAGAATGTTTTCAACTTTATATAACCGTCATTTTCTATTCTATATAGATACCTTCTCATTTTATATATTCCTTTATTTTTTCTTTTTTATTTAAAAAGAATCTATTCCGGAGCAAAATAAACGTATATACTATTAAATTTGACTCCAATTATTATAAAGCACTCTAATATGCAGAATTTGTGAATGAACTTAAAAAATAATAGGCATGCTCAATTGACGGACAAGAGGATTAGATGTTAACGCAAATTTATATGATGAGCATCACTTAATCATGCTTAGCAAGTTCATGTTGTGGCATACATATTTTCTAATTAAATTGGCATCAATGAGATATCATACCTTTAAAAAATAAAACACTTTAAAGTAAAAGGATCTTATACTATGAATTTTTGCTCAAGAAATATAACAAATCAAACTCGCCTCACGATTATATAACGATTATGTCGTCTAATTGTGAATCGTGGTACTCCTTCAAAATTAATTAATTTACTAATTTAGTGTTTGCATTTAAAAATAAAAATAAAAAATTGAAATCAGTTGCATAGTTACAGGATGTGGGCCATGTGGCAAAGGATTTGAGTACAAATTACGTGCATGGCCAATTAATTGTGTGCCTTTAAATGAAAGAGGGTCTTAAACCTTGAAAAGCCTAAGTGGGCTTAATCCCCTTATATAGGTGGAGTGTTTTGATCAAATTTGAATATTAACGCCCTCAAATCAACTTGTATTAAACATAAAGTTGTGAAAAAAATGAGGTAAAACCGAAAATCGAACCACATCATACAATAATTTCACATCAATTTGAACCGATTGTTTATTATGTCACGGTGCATTTCGATTTCCTTTATAAGTTCGATTGTTCAGTATTTTACGGTTCGTTATCTGAACAAGTACATTTGCTAAGATCCATGGACCTCTTCGCACCAAATCACAGCCCATTACCCATATAAGAACACAGTAATTTATCTCAATCGCTATTCACCGCCCCCCTATTACTACTCATCGCCCCCTCCTTGGACAATTTTGCCCCTTGCATTTTTTTCAAAAAGTAAAAAAAAAAAAAAACCGTCCGGCCGGCGAAACCGGACGGCTTTTAGCCCGTCCGGCCGCCGGAACCGGACGGTTCAAAAGGCGTCCGGCCGGCCGGTTCGGACGGCATAAAAGCCGTCCGGAAAGTTCGTCCGGTCATTTTTTTTT